GAATCACAGGTTTTAATCTACCATCAAATGTTCTTAAGGTAAGCTGAAGATTTTTATTTTTTTTATCAGGCTTAGAGGTTTGGGCAGACACCTCATGCGTACTGCTACATTTTACTCACACTTGATAATTTCTACTGATCGATGCATGTTCTCATTGTACCCTTATGTAAAAAGTTGTCTATTTAGGATGACGTTTGATTTTTTTCCTGTATGTCTCGTTGTCATCTCATCAGGTCATTAAGGAAACAAATTTGAATGAAACTGGATTGAGTCACAGGTTTTAAACTACCATCAAACGTTCCTAAGGTAAGCTGATGAGTTTTAATATGGATCAAGGCCTAGAAGTTGGTAAGCATCTCAAGTGTTGCTACTTTCACTCACACTTGAATTTTTATTGATTGATGCATGTTCTCACCATACACCATGTAAAAATTGTCTATTTAAGGAGAAAAGTCCTTTTTCTGATCTTTTTTTCTTGTTGTTCAACAGATCAGCTCATTAAGGAAACAGATTTGAATGAAACTGGATGGAGTCACAGGTTTTAAAACTACCATCAAAACATTCCTAAGGTAAGCTGATGAGTTTAATATGGATCAAGGGCCTAGAAGTTTGGTAGACATCTCAAGTGTTGCTACATTTCACTCACACTTGAGCATTTTTATTGATTGATGCATGTTTCACCATACCCATGTAAAAAATTGTCTATTTAAGGAGAAAAGTCCTTTTTTAAAATCTTTTTTCTTTGTTTTCAACAGATCAGGCATTAAGGAAACAGATTTGAATGAAACTGGATGGAGTCACAGGTTTAAAACTACCATCAAACGTTCCTAAATAATCTGATGATTTTTTGTTATTTATTGGACTTATATGTTTTCAGCAGACACCTCTGCGTACTGCTACATTCACTCACACTTGATCATTTTTATTGATTGATGCATGTTCTCACCATACCCCATGTAAAAATTGTCTATTTTGGAGAAAAGTCCTTTATCTGATCTTTTTTTCTTGTTTTCAACAGATCAGGTCATTAAGGAAACAGATTTGAATGAAACTGGATGGAGTCACAGGTTTTAAACTACCATCAAACGTTCCTAAGATAATCTGAGATATTTTATTATTTATTGGACTTATAGTTTTTCAGCAGACACCTCATGTAAAAAATTCTCTTTTAAGGAGAAAAAAGTCCTTTTTTCTGATCTTTTTTTTCTTGTTTTCAACAGATCAGCTTATTAAGGAAACAGATTGAATGAAAGTGGATGGAATCACAGGTTTTTAATCTACCATCAAGTGTTCTAAGGTAAGCTGAAGATTTTTAGTTTTTTATCAGGCTTAGAGGTTTGGGCAGACACCTCATGCGTACTGCTACATTTTACTCACACTGATAATTTCTACTGATCGATGCATGTTCTCATTGTACCGCATGTAAAAGTTGTCTATTTTAGGATGACGTTTGATTTTTTTCCTGTATTTCTTGTTATCACTCATCAGTCCATTAAGGAAACAAATTTGAATGAAAGTGGATGGAATCACAGGTTTTAAACTACCATCAAATGTTCTTAAGGTAAGCTTGAAGATTTTTAGTTTTTTATCAGGCTTAGAGGTTTGGGCAGACACCTCATGAGTACCTACATTTTACTCACACTTGATAATTTCTACTGATCGATGCATGTTCTCATTGTACCGCATGTAAAAAGTTGTCTATTTTGGGTGATGTTTGATTTTTTTCCCCTGTATTTCTCTTGTTGTCATCTCATCAGGTCATTAAGTAAAACAGATTTGAATGAAACTGGATGGAGTCACAGGTTTTAAACTACCATCAAACGTTCCTAAGATAATCTGATGATTTTTTGTTATTTATTGGACTTATATGTTTTTTCAGCAGACATCATGCGTACTGCTACATTTCACTCACACTTGATCATTTTATTGATTGATGCATGTTCTCACCATACCCCATGTAAAAAATTGTCTATTTTAGGAGAAAAGTCCTTTTTCTGATCTTTTTTTCTTGTTTTCAACAGATCAGGTCATAAGGAAACAGATTTGAATGAACTGGATGGAGTCACAGGTTTTAAACTACCATCAAACGTTCCTAAGATAATCTGATGATTTTTTATTATTTATTGGACTAATATGTTTTTAAGCAGACACCTCATGTAAAAAAATCTCTATTTAAGGAGAAAAGAGTCCTTTTTTCTGATCTTTTTTTCTTGTTTTCAACAGATCAGCTTATTAAGGAAACAGATTTGAATGAAAGTGGATGGAATCAGGTTTTAATCTACCATCAAATGTTCTTAAGGTAAGCTGAAGATTTTTAGTTTTTTATCAGGCTTAGAGGTTTGGGCAGACACCTCATGCGTACTGCTACATTTTACTCACACTTGATAATTTCTACTGATCGATGCATGTTCTCATTGTATCGCATGTAAAAAGTTGTCTATTTTAGGATGACGTTTGATTTTTTCCCTGTATTTCTCTTGTTATCATCTCATCAGGTCATTAAGGAAACAAATTTGAATGAAAGTGGATGGAGTCACAGGTTTTAAACTACCATCAAATGTTCTTAAGGTAAGCTGAAGATTTTTAGTTTTTTATTGGGCAGACACCTCATGCGTACTGCTACATTTACTCACACTTGATAATTTCTACTGATCGATGCATGTTCTCATTGTACCGCATGTAAAAAGTTGTCTATTATAGGATGACGTTTGATTTTTTTCCCTGTATTTCTCTGTTGTCATCTCATCAGGTCATTAAGGACACAAATTTGAATGAAACTGGATGAGTCACAGGTTTTAAACTACCATCAAACGTTCCTAAGGTAAGCTGATGAGTTTTAATATGGATCAAGGCCTAGAAGTTTGGTAGACATCTCAAGTGTGTTGCTACATTTCACTCACACTTGATAATTTTTATTGATTGATGCATGTTCTCACCATACCCCATGTAAAAAATTGTCTATTTAAGGAGAAAAGTCCTTTTTTTAAATCTTTTTTTCTTGTTTTCAACAGATCAGGTCATTAAGAAAACAGATTTGAATGAAACTGGATGGAGTCACAGGTTTTAAACTACCATCAAACGTTCCTAAGATAATCTGATGATTTTTTTGTTATTTATTGGACTTATATGTTTTTCAGCAGGCACCTCATGCGTACTGCTACATTTCACTCACACTTGATCATTTTTATTGATTGATGCATGTTCTCACCATACCCCATGTAAAAAATTGTCTATTTTAGGAGAAAAGTCCTTTTTTCTGATCTTTTTTTCTTGTTTTCAACAGATCAGGTCATTAAGGAAACAGATTTGAATGAAACTGGATGGAGTCACAGGTTTTAAACTACCATCAAACGTTCCTAAGATAATCTGATGATTTTTTATTATTTATTGGACTAATATGTTTTTTCAGCAGACACCTCATGTAAAAAAATCTCTATTTAAGGAGAAAAGAGTCCTTTTTTCTGATCTCTTTTCTTGTTTTCAACAGATCAGCTCATTAACAAACAAATTGAATGAAAGTGGATGGAGTCACAGGTTTTAAACTACCATCAAACGTTCCTAAGATAATCTGATGATTTTTATTTATTGGACTTATATGTTTTTTCAGCAGACACCTCATGTAAAAAATCTCTTTTTAAGGAGAAAAAGTCCTTTTTTCTGATCTTTTTTCTTGTTTTCAACAGATCAGCTTATTAAGGAAACAGATTTGAATGAAAGTAGATGGAATCACAGGTTTTAATCTACCATCAAATGTTCTTAAGGTAAGCTGAAGATTTTAGTTTTTTATCAGGCTTAGAGGTTGGGCAGACACCTCATGCGTACTGCTACATTTTACTCACACTTGATAATTTCTACTGATCGATGCATGTTCTCATTGTACCCTTATGTAAAAAGTTGTCTATTTTAGGATGATGTTTGATTTTTTTCCCTGTATTCTTGTTGTCATCTCATCAGGTCATTAAGGAAACAAATTTGAATGAAACTGGATGGAGTCACAGGTTTTAAACTACCATCAAACGTTCCTAAGGTAAGCTGATGAGTTTTAATATGGATCAAGGCCTAGAAGT